ATTACAAATAGCATGTGGTCCCTAGGTAAAACTAATCCCGTGCGAATATGACTTTTGTTAACGAAATCAGGTCTCTCTTGTAAATGAGTCCCTGAGGCTCAATGGGATTAACATGTATGAATAAAGGTTGAATGAATGAAAAAGATCAGACACTTTGTAGTGTTTGAATGTTGGATCTGATGTTGCTGATCTCTCAGTGGAGAGTCGGGGCTGTGTTTTACAGGAATGACTCTGATCCCAGAGCAATGGGAGTTGTTGTCTACCTTCACTTTGTCCCTCGTGGCTCTGTGGGGGGGCTTGTGTTTGTGGGTCCTGTGGTCCGGCAGCTCCAGGTGGAGTTTCCTCAATGCCAGACTCCTCCGCCTCCTGATTTTTCATGTCGAGCACTTGATGTAAACACAGGAAACTGTTTTGAGTTTACACGAAAAGGTTTATTCCGCCAGGGTCACCTTTTTATGACGCGTTGAAAAAAAAAATTCTTGAAAAATTCGGCGCTCCCCACAATTTACACACAAATAAATAAGTTTAATACGAGCCATATAGACTCATCAATCGAACAAATTCCTGCTAATGCATTTCATTAGCTAGCCCCTGAGCTTTCAGTTTACCTTCAGGAACAGGCTAACCGTCGTTAGCCGCAGATAAAACTAGCTTCTTGGACTAAATCAGCTTCAACTCGTTACAATAAATGGCAGAAACGAACAGGAGAGCGCTTTAAATACACAACTTGTCTTCGTCTACAGATTTGTTTACCTTAGATTCCAGCAGGAAATAGCTTTAATGTGTTTGTGAGCAGCAGATTTCAACATGAGCCTGAAAAACCTGTAACTTCCGGTCATAACTTGGATTTCTTCTTCTTCGCCTCATTAGCGCTTTGTCGCCATCTGGCGGAGGAAAGACGTAACTGCAACAAGCTAAAGTTCCACTTCCAATGATCCTTCCAACGATAAATTACAACAACAATACAATTTTGAATTATATTAATATAGCTGCTGCAATAAGTTAAAAAAATACTTTATTTTTTTCTTCTTTCAGCTGCTCCCTTCATCAGGGGTCGCCACAGTGAACTAACTCGCATGAATGCAAGTATTCGTGCCAAGTTCGGCAATTATTTTTATGCCGGATGCCCTTCCTGACGCAAACACCACCGAGCTACCACGGCCCTCTGTGTGGAGCAGGGAGCTGCCATCTAGGGTGCCTGGGGGCAGCTGGTGGGTGTCAAGGGCCTTGCTCAAGGGTCCAGAGTGGGGCAAACAAAGGTAGAGGCAGCTGTGGGTGTTTCACTTTTCCCACCTACATTTTGATGTTGTCAGTCCGCGGAGTTGAACCAACAATCTTCCGATCACAAGCCCGCCTTCTCTCTAACCACTGCACCACCACGCTCCGGTAAAATAAAACCTAGTAATTACTTGAGAAATGCCTCTGTAATGTTGTGTGGGTGGCACAGTGGCCTCTCAGTAAGAAAGTTGCAGGACTGAATCCCGGCTGGGGGCCTTTCTGGGTGGAATGTGCATGTTCTCTCCGTGTATGCGTGGGTTTTCTCCGGGTGCTCCGGTTTCCTCCCACAGACCAAAAACAAGCATGTTAGGCTGATTGGTAACTCTAAATTGTCCCTAGGTGAGAGAGTGAATGTCGCTATATGTCCCTGTGATGGACTGGAGACCTGTCCAGGGTGTCCCCTGCCTCTTGCACAGTGACTGCTGGACACCGGTGACCAGAAAAGAAAGAATCAGGTAGAAAGATAATGGATGGATGTTCTATGCCTCAGTTTTAATGTACAAACTGTGTGAGAATAATGAGAACCAAGATTAGAGAAAACTTTAAGCGGCTCATTTGGATCACCAACACACCTGTATCTTTCACAGACAAAAATGCAGACTAGAAAGTAAGCCTCAAAGACACAGCCACTTAACCAGAAATTCCTGAACTGTAAGAAGTAGAACTGTCTGGTGGATTTTAAATGTCGACATGGTTTAACATAGGAAATACTTCTTACATGTGGTTCTTACTGGCAGGCAGATCTTTCAGTTATCAGGCTCCTCTTGTGGAACCAACTTTCAGTTTCTGCCCATGAGCCTGACACCTTGTCTACTTTTAAGATTAGGCTTTAGTCCTTTTTGATAAATCCTATGTTAGGGTTGGCTTGGTTTTCCTGAGCTATCCCTTAGCTATGCTGCTATAGTCTTGGACCGCTCGAGGACAAATTGATCACATTTCCTCTCTCTGCTGCTGTCTTTCCTTGCTCTACCGGTTTTGTATTTGCAATTATTTTTACCTTAACATGTTTTTTTGCATATCTTCCTATAGAAAGTACACCTGCACCTGCCATTCCGTGATTGTCCATTCCTCCTTCCTGTCCTCTCAAACCTGGCTGATTGAAGCAGATGTCCGCTTGTCCTGAGCCTGATTCTGCCGGAGGTTTCTTCCTGTTTAAAGGGAGTTTTTCCTTTCCACTGTCCCCTTTGTGCTTGCTCAGGATGGGCGACTGTGACAAAGTGAATATTCAACGCAATCTGCTGCTTCCTTAGATACAGAACTTTACTCATTGGCTTTTGTATGTACAGGTGCTGGTCATAAGATTAGAATATCATGAAAAAGTTGATTTATTTCAGTAATTCCATTCAAAAAGTGAAACTTGTATATTATATTCATTCATTACACACAGATATATTTCAAAAGTTTTTTTTAATGTTGATTATAACTGACAACTAACGAAAACCCCAAATCCAGTATCTCAGAAAATTAAAATATTGTGAAAAGGTTCAGTTTTGAAGACACCTGGTGCCACACTCTAATCAGCTAATTAACTCAAAACACCTACAAAAGACAAAACACCCATATAAAAACTGAGTGATGTGGTTTATGCAGTTCAGTGCAACGAGCACTGTCCAGACCTCTACATTGGAGAAACTAAACAGCCTCTTCACAGACGCATGGCTCAACACAGGAACGCCACCTCCTCTGGACAAGACTCAGCTGTTCACCTCCACCTCACAGATAAGGGACACTCTTTTGAGGACCAAAATGTGCACATTTTACATTTTGGACCGAGAAGACAGATGGTTTGAGAGGAAGGTGTATGGAGGTGAAGTAGTGATGGGCAGATGAGGCCTCATTGTGTGTTTGGCACATTTCCCAAACTGTGACGACCCTGTGTTGAAACTGTTGCTGTATTACTTAATGGCACATCTGCTGGATTAAAACAGTCATTGCAGGCAACTGGAATAAAGACTGGAAACAGACTGAACACGGTTCATTCACAAGTTTTTATTTAGAAACATCAGCTGCTGTAACATCTTTGGGCCGAGGCGATTGCACCGTTTACAAACCATTTCTCCTGCTTTTGAGAACACCCTTTCACAGGGCACTGATGATGATGGCGTACAGAGAAATGTCATTGCAAATTTGTATAAGGTAGGGTAATTTAGTCTTTGCATTTTCCAGTATTCTAGTGGATCCTGTGATCTCGGTGTGTTCGGCTCAGAGATGTATCTTTGTACCTCGATAATGGCATCGATGGTGACATTTGAATTGGCCTTGCTCTCCTTGACTTCCATGTCCAGCTGCTGCCCCAGGTTGTCATCTGAGGAAAAAATAAAATACATCTGCGTTGCTAATTAATTGTAATCACGTGGAGTGATTTGCAAGAATATTAAAATACAAATAAACACAATTAACAATCATGACATACCTGAACTGGGAGCAGATGGTTGAGTTGAAGGTCCAGCTTGGGCATCTTCCATTTGTGTCGGAACAGCGTTTCTCATTTCTGCAGCACACTCCGATTTGAGTCTTTTCACTGCATCATTGGCTTTTGACGCACTTAAGAATGCCATTGTCTTGAACCGAGGGTCCAGCAGTGTTGGCGTTGTCATTACACTTAATGACTCCAGGTTGCACGGTGTTTCCAGCAGTCTTCTTTTAAGGTTTTCCACAAGATTAATTGTGATTTCCGTGGTTGCAAGTAAAGCATTGTGTTGCAGTGAGTGGTGCAACATTTTAAGCATTGGGATTACTTTTGATCCAGACGCTCTTTTCCTCAGACAGCTCCACTGTCGCTCGATTTAATGGAGCAAGCACATGGAGTGTGTCCTCTATGACTTTGTAATCATCTGTAGTTAGCTGAGGTATATCACTCTTTAAAGAGGCCAGGGATACCAGCACCGACTCCTTCTGTTCCACCATGCGTTCCAGCATTAACGATGTGCTGTTCCATCTAGTTGACACCTCATTAATGTTTTCACTGGTCCTCCCATCTGTAGCTGGACTTGTGCCAGCTTCTCTTTGGCTCTAGTACTGGTTCTAAAGTATGTTACAATCTGCCTTGTTTTATTTTGGATAGAGTGTCTCAATTTGGCCACATGATTTTCGAACTGTTAAATTTAAAGAATGCGCTCTGCAAATCGTGTGCCCGATTTGGAGCTTTCTGACACATGTTTGCAGCTGCATCTGTGACCACACATGTCACTTTCTCTGCTAGGCCCACTCCATTATGATTTTTTTCCTTGGGCCATATTTTCAGCAGTGTGCTGCTGAGGGAAGTGTTCCACTCCCAACATTGATACACAGTGTATGGTTCTCACTGTTGACATGATGACAGGTCTCAGCCAGGTACGCCTCCATGTTGATGGATGTCCACATGTCAGTAGTTAAGCTAACTGCAGTTTTTACTTGCTCCTTCTTCTCCTCATACCTCTGGCTAATCATGGTCTTGATAGCCTAAAATTAATAACACAAGTAGATTAATGAATGAAAGCACATAACATGCATATACTTTGTTAACATGTATACACGTTTAACACATTCAACAGTTTGTTTCACGTACCTTTCTGCTTGGCAGAACACGAGGGCTCTGGGAGTTGGAGCAGCTCTTGGAACCCCTGGTCTTCCACAAGGCGAAGCAGCTGACGGGCTGTAATAATCATATTCAATATAGCCTCATCCATCGCCTGCTTTCTGGAAACACCAGAGTTGATCACAGGAGTGCTAACCGGTTCTTCCTTCTTATGCCGGGCACGATAACGCCTCAGCATTATGGAAGTGCTCTGGTTACAGTAAGACAGCACCTGGGAACAAATCCTACATTTCACCTACAATACAAATAAAAGTGAATCCATATTAACTCATTCAAATATCCTTCAGAAAGAAATTAGAATAACTCGAAATAAAAAATTATCAATAGGAAAATGAGAAAGGAATAATAATTTACCTTATTCTCCGTGATAAGATTAAAATTATCCCACACGGGAGAAAACTTCTTCCTTGGTTGATCCATGGTATTCGATAACGAGCCAATAAACCAAAGTACACAAACAAACTATCTCCATCCAACAAACCCCACAAATGTATCAATACATTATCTCCCTTATAAATACAATTTGGTGCATTCACAACCAACTGATATAGTAACCGAGATACACGCACCGACACAGGGTTTCGCCTTGTTTGCTCGGCGCATGCACCGAGGTTTCAGTGTCGTCAGATCATCACTAGGATGAAGGACGCAATTTATGTAAAAAGAGATGAACCATCTCTTAACAGAGGAGGAGGCCTCAGGTTTCAACTTTCAAAAACTTATAATGCAGCTTTAGGACTGACACCCAGCCAGTTTCACACCGATCAGATGGGAACAGAAAGGCCTCATCTGTGAATTAGATTAACAAAGACCTCAACAAACCTCTACTGTGAGGTGTGATAGGTCAATCTGCATATGTATGTGTAACTCAGCTTTATAACCTGAACCCCACACGCGCTGCTCTTTAAAATGAAAAAGCTTCTCGGATGAGAAGTGAAACGTCTTCTGTTACAAATAAAGTCCAGTTGTTTTTGCTTTGAACATTTTTGGATTTACCATGTCCTGGATGACTGAGAATCTTCACCAGCACCTGCAAAGGTCTTTAAACGGTCTCTCAGTTTAGTTCTGTAGGCTACACTATCATGGGGAAGACTGCTGACTTGACAGCTGTCCAAAAGATGACTACTGACACTTTGCACAAGGAGGGCAAGACACAAAAGGTCATTGCTAAAGAGGCTGGCTGTTCATAGAGTTCTGTGTCCAAGCACATTAATAGAGAGGCAAAGGGAAGGAAAAGATGTGGTAGAAAAATAAAGTGTACAAGCAATAGGGGTAACTGCACCCTGGAGAGGATTGTGAAACAAAACCCATTCCAAAATGTGGGGGAGATTCACAAAGAATGGACTGCAGCTGGAGTCAGTGCTTTAAGAACCACCACGCACAGACGTATGCAAGACATGGGTTTCAGCTGTCACACTCCTTGTGTCAAGCCACCCTTGAACAAGATGCGTCAGAAGTGTCTCACCTGGGACTGCTGCTGAGTGGTCCAAAGTTATGCTCTCTGATGAAAGTAAATTTTGAATTTCCTTTGTAAATCAAGGTCCCAGAGTCTGGAGGAAGAGAGGAGGCACAGAATCCATGTTGCTTGAGTTCCTCCATTGAGCTTTGTGTGTAGTGGTGATGCTGGTTACCAGGATGACAAGCCCCGCCCCTCTCCCAATTGAAACGGGGAAAAAAATCTTCACACATTAAAGAGTTGAAACATAACTTTATTTTGTACAGTATTTCCTCTGAACAATTTTAATTCAGTACATTGTCTTTACACTTTAATAACGCAGTTTCCTGTATTTTTCTCCATGTTTATGTTTGTGTGTTCGGCTGAAGTGTATTTCGTCTCTCGTCACTCATTCATACGGTCGGTAAAGTCAAGTCGAGTCACAGTATAAACACGGGAAGCAAACGACACGTCGTCAGGAAGGAAAGGGAAAATAAATAGGAATGGGAGAACCAGATAGAACACAGTGGGTTAGTGAGGAGATGGGTACAGGAATTAAACCTTTTTGTAGCGTAGACTTTAAATTAGCCGATCGTGGCTTTAGATTTCGATAAAGACACAGACAGCGTCCAGGACGGAAGACGAGATCAATTTGAATTAAGGTTTCATTACCCGCCCCCACCAAAAAAATAAAAAATATTTATATAGCTCCGGATCTCCTGATCAGGAAAAAGATCAAGAAAGGCAGAAAAGACTTGAAAATTCACCCCCTCCGTTTTATTTTTTAAATAAATTTATCCCGTGACAAGTTCTACTGAGGCTTTCTCCACTTCTTAGAAGTGATTAGAATCGTATCTGAATCCCTGTCAATCAGAACACCACAACATACAAAGTTTAAATTATAATACTTCTTAATGTAAATCACTGCACTGGTTCTGAATCCCAGATCTTTAAGCTTTGAAAAACAAACAAACAAAAAAGTCAAGCGGTCGCCTCTGGCAGTGGACCGAGTCACTTTAGAGCCGGGTCTTTGATGCCGGGCGGCTGTGGATAGTTGTTAAACTCTTTAGTTTGAGGGGGGAAAAAAAAAGATTTAAAATATGCAGCTTCTTCTTACAATAAAATAATTATAATCTGCTGTGAAGTTAAGAGTTGGTAAACGAGCTGCTGCTTTAATCTCACGGGATCGTCGCTAATATTTTCACATTTACAGTATGTGCCATGACTAAAGGAAAATGTGAGCTTCACTGGATGTGGAGAACTTCTTCCTAGTTGTAGGAAGGAACCTTCAGAGGAGCTCACTTTGGAGGTTTAATAACTAAAGGTTAGTCTGAACCAAAGAAACATCACATCTGCAAAGTTTCAGCGCAGTTCATTCATGCAAACAAACGTTAGCTTCACGTCACCGTGGTATTCACACACAGATATGGTTAACTACTATGTAAATAGCAGCAGCAGCTAGCAGTAGCGCTTCCAGCACAGCCCGGATTTAATTCCAGCAGGAATTTTCCAGGAATAATGATGTCATTGCTCGAACGGGATATTAGCTCCTGGATTTCCAATCAAGATTTTAAAACAAGTCTCATCTCAAAAGATTCAGAGTGAATCATGCAAACTATTATTTGAGCTTTTATATCACAGTTTATTTTTTGTGGTTAATTTAGTTGCTTTATTTTGAAATTCCTGCCTCAAGCTGCATTGGAAGTGCTGTTGCACCCACTCCTCGTGCGTGCTCATAACCACATATTTCTGCATAACCGTGTCATTTTCAAACTTAGCGGTGGTTCCCAACCCTGCTCCCTGAGGAACACCATCCTGCATGTTTTAATTGTTCCCCTGGTCCAACACACCTGATTCAGTGATTTAATTACTTCATCTGGTTCTGCAGAAGTCTGTTAAAAACACATCCATTCAAACCAGGTGTGTCAAAGCAGGAAACAAAAAAACATGCAGGATGGTGTCCCTCAAGGACCAGTGTTGGGAACCACTGAGCTGGAAAAGTCTATGAAGAAGAGTTCACACGAACCGCTGTGACATTTAAATACAGAAGCCATTTTAAGATGACAGCAATCCACTTTGCTCTTTTGTGTTCAAACTAGCCGTAAACACGCTCCAAATCAAGTCTGTTCTAAGATCCATCTACAGCAGGTAAGATACCAATTCTTTACAATGTCTCTACTGAACGCTACTTTAAAATAAGCAGAAAATCCATCTTAGTGCTGCTTCCTGTCAGCACAGACTTTCTTTTCTACCTGGAGGGCTCGGACGAGCTTCTCTACAGCGTGAAACCAAACGGTTGCAGCTTCGCTACGCACAGTGAAAACCACACAAGCGTCGAGGCAGGGACTATTTTATTACCAAAAGTAACTCAAAAGACTGTTTTTTGTTGTTTTTCTTTCCCCCATTATATTCACCGTCTCCTTCCCCCACCGTGACAATTAGACACGGTCTTTTAGGTGTCCCATAAAGAATGCCACTTCCTCAAGAAACAGTGGCAAACAATGTAACTTTAAAGATAAGAAAAATAGAGCAGCAATGTTTCGCACAAAACGTGTGCACATTCAAGTAAATAAAGATATAAAGAGATATTCTATAGGTCAAAGACAGAAACGTAAGATCTTCGTCTTTGTTGGTCGGATTGGCACTTTAGTGAGCAGGAGTGCATTTTCACTCAACAAATATTTTCCCTTGTTGACGAAATGCGGTTACCGTCTTTATTTCTGGCATTATTTGAAGGCCGAGCACAGAACTGGCCGAGAAATCCAAGACTTCAGTTCTAAATGCTGCTCTTTGTTAGGTAGAGGTAAAGTGTTGTTAACTTTATATTTCATGGTTTGACCCGTCACGTCAGCTGGGAGCACACGTGTTCTGTGGATAACATGAGACCCGGGATGCAAAGAGACATTTTTCATCAGATAATGCCTTGAATTACAACCAGCAACACTTTAAAAAACATTTACCGTATTTTTTGGACTATAAGGCGCACTTAAAATCCTTTAATGTTCTTAAAAATCGACAGTGAGCCTTATGAATTAAGCTGTGCTTACTGACCTCGAACTGATTTTATGTGTTACTATGCTGAGAGTTATCGTGAACGAGTTGAATAAAGTTTGACTTGTCTGATTGTTTTGTCTCACTTGATGCACCTTATGGTCTGAAAATTACGGTATTCACTTAAAGGAATGGTTCGGCCTGGTTGAATGGGTTTCTGTGTCAGAAAGTTGATTACAAGCGCCAGTTTAAAGACACACAGTTTACAGGACTGACGAGCTCATCGCTGATCTAAACGCACACCAGCGTAGCTCGCCTCCAAACAAAAATGAATCCAATGACAAAAACGCTTCGGATGTTCATGAAACGCTTCTCGTAAACCTTCATGCTGCCATCACTTCCTCAAAACACGAGTCATTCTGTATTTGCAACAGTAAAGATCAACAGCAGCAGCTAGCTGTAGCACTCGCCAGGCATCCAGGGGTCAGGACTGGTAGGACTTTACCTGCTATAATAAGTGTGTAATGTGAAAGTAACAGCAATGGTTGAACTGGTGTCCGCTGCCTTCACACTGGTCCGTTTCTCCTAAAACATTTATCTCCGAACTTTAGTCGTTTTAGAAACTTTCTACACGGAAGATCTTAGCGTTTACACAGAAACCCACCTTTTCCTTTAACGAGTTAGTCTTCTGTAAGTCAAGAACAACTAGTACAACCTGTAGACTCGATAGTTTTTCATTTGTTTCTGCTTCAAAAAAGAATATTCAGCCGGTTGTTGCATTTAGTTTTGAGAACACCCTCCATTTAGTGTTTTCAAAGTGATCCACAGAACAGGGTCTCAGCAGAGTCAGTGGACCTCTTCCTCACATAGCGCCCGTCAGTCAATCACAAACCAGAGCTCTACTTCACCCACCGACCCACGACGGGCCTCGCTCCGAGGCAAAGCCGAGCCCTGGTCAGAGTTCAACCATCTAAAGTCCTGAGGCTGAAACAAATACAAGTTTCCACAATTTGCTTTAAAGTTCAAACAACTTCATGTCAATAAAAAAAACTAAACAAGAGCAACATTTTAAGAAAACATACTTGAGAATTGAAACTAAGAATTTTTGCTCGATAATGAAAACTAAACGGTCACGATCTTTCTGGAAACTAATATTTGCTTCAGGCCACTTGTCTGTGGGAGGTGTGTGCACAGTGTCTGCTGGTGGTGTATGCAAGTGTGCGTAAAGAAACAAGATTCATATTTTAATGCAAATACATCATAATTCAAATATCCTCTGTTGATGTCTGCGTCGTTGCAGCTCCCCCAGCCTCTTTCACATCGGATGGTTTATAAACCCACGAGGAAACACTGAAGCAGATTTCCCATAAAAGGACAGAGAAAAGGCTATTTACACAAACCCCGACCGCTCGCAACCGTCCCACGCCAAACCTTTAGCCGTTGTCATTTCCGTTCCTCACAGACATCGTGATATTTAACTCTACCTCTAAAGAAAACACCAGAACTATTCACATCACCAAAAGTCACTGCATCGATGGGCCGTCGGCCATTTTGAACTCCAAACACCGTTTACAAGAAGCGTTTGCGTTTCGTTTGCCTCTTGCTGCCAGCTGCTGTGATTGTTCAGCGATTCTAGGACGAGCAGAATGCAAAACCACCTTCTAGACCCAACTGGGGGACCTAGCTGCCCAGCAGAACCTAACTGGGGTTCCAAAGAAATCCAAACGTTAGAAATGTTGCTTATGAACCTTTACTTCACAAGACACTCCACCTTACTCTAAAAGTGATCTAATAAATGCAGGTAAATATAAGAGATGTTTGGTTTGCTCCTGCAGCTGGCCCCGCTCCCCCAACAAATGTCCCAAAATGCCTTGCTCAAGAGATCCCTCCACAAATCAAACGCATTAATTTATACCACAGCAAAATACGACTGTTGGACGTCGAAAACTTTCCCACAATCAAAGTTTCTTTTAAGTTACTCAAAAAAAAAAAAAAAACCCGATGTCATAGTTAGGACACCTCATGTAGAGTCCTTGAGATTAGCTTCACCCCCCTGCCCCCCCACTGAAACACCTTCAGACGAGAGGAGCAGCTCTGAACTCGCCATCAGCTCTTAGCAGAAAACCAAACACTTTTTAATCACAGGAAAAGAAAAAGAACTGGAACAGGAGCAGATAAATAAGGAAATAATGAAATCAAACTATGTTGGATTGCACAAAAACCTGACCGACAAGAAGAACGGGTTTCACCACACGCAGCCCTGTTTATGGACTCTGCAACGGGATTCAAAAGGAATCCAGAAAACAGGAACGTCCCGTCGGAAAAGACGTGTAGTTTAAATTATCGACCAATAAATGGCAGCTACTGCCAGAGACGGGATGTGAGAGCGATCAGCGTTTGTGAGCGTGAACTTGGGGCAGGGCAGACTCACTTTAAGTTGCATGATGATCACTTCCTCTGCTAGGCGTGGTAGAGTCAGTGAGAAGTTAGTCCATTGGTTGAAATCGTGACAAATGGAGTTTTTAGGCTTAAGAGGGCAAAAGTTTTCCTCCACAGGGCAGGGGTGTGCAGTGATTGGGTAAGAGGACACAGTGGCATGATTCAGACCTTCCACAGAATAGGGGAGTATAAAGGGTGGGGGGCAGGGTATGTGGTGAACTTTACAAGATTTATAGCTGGAAGCCCTCCATGGGAGCCTCCTGCTGAGGAAAGAGGAACTGCTGGTTGGCCTGGTCCACCTGAGGAGCGAGGCTGCTGTCTTCATCCTCCACCCCAAAGTAGCGCTCAATGAGGTCGAAGGCCTTCTGGTAGATCTCCTGGTTGTCGTGGCTCTGGAGGAACTCGATCTTGTCCAGACCTAAAGGGACAAACATTTTGTCTTTACCCTGATCACAGTCGGACATTAAGAAATACATGCAGCCCAGACACCGCTGTAATATCACTTCCAACTGAAATACGAGTAGAATTTAAAAATCGTGAAGGAATCAATGACGTGAGGCTTCTTCAGCAACATCCATGGGCAGATGTTTGTTAAAGAAGATGAAACTGAGTTGGTTAAAAATAAAGCATATGAATGAAGCATAAATTAATATTGTAGCTTGACAAGTCAGAGTTGTATAAAAAGCAATAAATCAGATGGACTTGTTGAACACGCGTGTGTGAAAGGTACCGTATGCTTCTTCGATGAGGCTGCAGTAAGGATTCACGCCCGAGCCGTTCTCCTGCTTGGCCTCCTGCTCGCCCAGCCGAAGGATGTTTTCTAGTCCATTCAGAGCGACCTGAACAATCTTCGAGTCCATTACCGTCAACAGGTCACACAGGGGCTTTATGCAGCCCAGATTCACCAGATACCTGAACACAAACACACACAGGTCCAGCATCTGTCACAGCAACACGTCTATATCTAACACAACATCTATCACCAACACTAAACCGGTTCTCTGCTCTTTATCTCGTCCTTTGTTCTCTTTTCTGTTGAAGTGTGATGAACTTGTATTTTAAGAGTTACGTTATACAGTAGTTCATCGGTACTTTGTGGGTCAACTTTCATGGACTCACTCTTTTGCGGGTTTTCAACGTAAGATTGTGCACGACACACAACTGTCAACTTTAACATTACTTACGTGATTGGGACGGTACAGGACAAAAAGTTAACGGGAGCGGGAACCAATTAATAGGACAAAAAACAAACAAAACAAAAAAAAAAGACTTCGGACATGTGCCGCCATTTTGTAGTTTTCTTTCAATATAACGCAAGTCAAAAGAACTACACGGCCAAGAAACCAACAGTGCTTCCGGCTGCTGTTTTCTGCTGAAATTCAAGGAACAGCAATGGAGGGAGCAACAACTAGAGAAACGGAGGTGCTAAAAATAGTTTTGCAACACAAAGTCAGAAGTAACGATGCATCTATGACGTTCACAGAACTGACAGGAAAGTCACAAATATTCCTGAAGCTGAACTCATCCTTCAAGTAGTGTCTTCACCCATATAACATTTTGCAGTACTGTACTGAACATAAACGTATGTTGTTAAAATTTTGTAGGTTTAAGAGTTTAGAACATTGAAAGAGTGTGGGAAGGGTTTATAAAGACTTTATATATATAATTACTAAAATGTATCTGGGTCATGGGGTTCACTGGTGCGCTTGTCCAGCCATCATTGTGCGAGAGGCGGGGGACACCCTGGACAGGCTGCAAGTCCATCACAGGGATATAAATATGCATTAGGGGTTGAATGGACGAGTTGATTCTAGGACATGTCGGGAGTTTTTTTAATTTTACGTCGACTAGTCCCAGTCACGCGATTGTGTCGCTGGGCGCTGACTAAAGCTGTCATTTCTAACCCGGGCCTGGACCGACCCGAATGCCAAAATAATGTGCTGGATGGGCGGGCCGGGTCGGGCTTTTGATTGCGTCAGTGTGCGGCTGACGATCCAATTTGGATCATCAGCCACAGGCGGTCGTTTGACCACACGCTGACCGGCCGGTTGAAATAAAAAAAAGTCCAGATGGATCAGTGCCAGCGACCCACCTGAAACTTAACTGGACTCAGCCGCTGCGTTTAGTTTTTAGTTTTATTTTATTTAATCCACCACCGCCCGCCTCTCGTTTTTAGTTTTGTTCTTTACGTGCCGCACGTTTCTTTCACTTTTGCAGCTTAATAATCGTTTTGGTTTTCTTGTGACTTATTTGCAGTTTGATAAATGGTAGGAGCATAAACATACGCTCCCGATGTTTTGTTGTTCCTTTTTTGGGGGGTAAATAATAAATGACTTTTTTTGTGAATATAGCATCTCGAGTTCCTATGACGTCACATCGACTAGTCGACATCAACTTGACTTTTATCATGTTAAAAAAGTCAACTTTTAAAAATATGAAGTCGTGCAACCCCTATATTTAGCGTTCCTACTTCAGTTTTTCACCTACTGTGGGGGTGTCTGGAACGTAGCCCCCGCGATAATCGAGGGCCTACTGTATATGCACTATAATAATTGGCAACGATTTAAGCAGTTTCCTCATGAACGCACTGCTCAGATACTCTGAGCGTCTGTGTTGATCATCGTTAACCTTTGAAGCCACTAAAAGGGAAAAGGATTTAGCTTCACAAATATTAAACAACTAAGTACAAAACAAATATTTCTTCATAACAAATTAAACCATAATCAGCTTCTATTCCTGTAAGATCTGCTGCTTGCCTGTTCACCTAAACAGTTTACTGTCTGGTGTCCAGGTTTGTTGTGGTTTCACTACAATCAAGCACACCAAGGCAGCGTCTACAGCAAACACACACAAACCTGAAACTTAATCCTAAAGTTAAAGTTTAATCAGTGAAGAAATAGTCAGAAGGTTATTAGCTAATAAACAAGTCTGCTTGTGTTTTGGTGCTCGCTGCCTGTGAAAACAGGAACTGTGTGTGTGTGTGTGTGTGTGTGGGGGGGGTGTCTTTAGTCTTGAAAAGATCGTGGATGCTGCAGCTCATGTGCTTTCAGCCTAACCTGATCTGCTCTGGCGTTCCTCCAGATGTGGCGTTGGTTATGGCCCAGGCTGCTTCTTTTCTAGTTCGGAATTCAGCTTTCTGCAGAATTTCTATCAGTACTGGGAAGATGTTGGCATCAATCACGGTCTGTGGAGAGGAATAACAAAAAACAGGGCTCAATTTCACAAAGCAGCTTGAATAGAAATACAGGAATTCTAACCAGGTCAACTTCCCGGCCAGATGTGCTTTCAAAAACTCACTGCTGGATAAAAATGCCTCGCCTTTACAAATCACACCAGCAACAACAATTACAGGCAGCACCAATTGGAACAACACTAATGCAAGAAAAACAGATTAAAAACTTGAGACTAAAGCAACAGCTGAGTCAAAAAGAATCGGTAAGCTCTAATGAGCAAAATGAAAAACGGTTCTTCTGCTCATGATTTACATCTTCAACCTGCAGGGAACGACACGTCGCAGCAGCAGAGCGAACGTTTATGAAGCATTCACTCTGCCGTCATCCAGCCAGTTTTCTTCCGTACGTTTTTCAGTGTGATTCTCGTCCCGCAGTTTTCAAGCTATTTCAACAAATCAAATCAAAATGTTCAGCTCATTCGGGACAATCCTGCTACGACTTTTGGTATCGGTGCAACTTTAGCTTTTTGAAACATTTAGCCTTTTCTGCCATTTTTTTGTTCTCATAAAAAAAATGAATTGAGCTCATTTTCCATCCTTCAAATGTTTAGACCTGTTTACAACCTTTTACTGCTCCTTTCACGTTTTGTTCTGCTTCAACTTTTTTCAGCTTCCTTCTGCAAATTTAAACTTTATCAGCTACTTTCAGCTGTTTTGTGATCGTTTCAGATTCTTTCTGCTAACTACAACATTGTTGTGCTTCTTCTGACTTATTTTTGCCAATTTCAGCTTGCTACGCTCCTTTCATCTTTTTTCTGCAAGTTTCATCCTTTTCTACCATTTCAGCTACTACTCAGTTGTTTTAATGCTAATTTAAGCTTTTTCAGCTAATTCCACATGGTTTGCATTCACTTAAACTTGTTTCAGTCTAATTAAGCAAAAAGGTGCTCTCTCTCCACTTCCTTCTGGTAATTTAAGCTTCTTTCTGCCTTTTTAGCTTCTTTTCAGCTGTATTTTAATTTCCACTTTTTGTGTTGATTTCGGCTTCTTTCAGCAAACATGTTCTTTCGACTTTCTTCTGCTAATTTAAGCTTGTTCTACCTGTTCAGCTACATTTTTAGCTAATTTTAGCCTTTTTCAGATAAATTCAAGTTTTCATGGTAATTTCTGCCACTTTCAGCCTAATTAACTTATTTCTGCTAGTTTCAGCTTTTTCTGCTACTATTTAGCTGCTTTCTTGCTAAATTGAGCTTTTTCAGCCAATTCCACATTTTTGGAGCTCTCTTCAGCTCCTTCCGCTGCCTTCTTGTAGTTTAAGCTTTTTCTGCCCTTTCAGCTATTTTTGCTAATTTCAGCTTTTCTAAGCTAGTTTACTAATTTTTGTGCTAATTTCTGCTTAATTCAACAAATATGTGTTCTTTCTTTTGCTTAGGCTTGTCATCCATTTCAGCTATTTTTCAGCATGTTTTAGCTAATTTCAGCAAGTTATTCTGCAACAAGCATTTACATTGCATTTTTGCATGAAATGCAATTTCTCTAGTTATAAGTTGTTGTATGAACCCTCTCAAACATGAAAACCGTCAGCGGGACTGTCCCCAGGCTGCCCCCACATCAGTAACGTGCCATGTCCGACCTGTATTTGTGCTCGGTTCCCTGCGGTGATGTTGGAGATGGTCCAGCAGGCTTCTTTGCGAATGGATTCTTTAGCGCTGCTGAGAAGGTGCAGCAGGCAGGGGAGAGCTGAGCAGTTCAACACCACCTAGAGTGAAGGCGCAGTTCAATGAAAACAGTCTCTCCAGGAACGTTGGTAGAGCTGAAACAAGTCCTTCAGGTAAAACTCTTTGAACAGAGACTTGGACTAAACCACTTGTCTGGTGTTTGTGTTTTCTCACCAACAGTTATTACTGTTCAACGTTTTCGCTGCCTCTGGTCATTAAATCACCAACTGTGCCGATCACATCCTGTGATGACGTGAGCTTCAGTAAATTAAGCTAGCCCCACAGAATCATAAGAGCTGTTTACATGTACAGTTGTCCCGCGCTACTTCGCGGTTCGACTTTTACGGACTCACTCTTTTGCGGTTTTTCAAAGTAAGACTGTAAACGAGACAAAAAAAAATGTACACGACACGATTGTTAACTTTAATATTACGTGATTGGGACAGTACGGAATACTGTAAAATGTTAACGAAAAAATACTTTGAACAGGCGCTGCCATTTTGTAGTTTTCTCTCGATAAGCCTACACTATCGCCAATCAAAAGGACTACATTTCCCAGAAGTCAACAGTGCTTCCAGCCATTGCCTTTTGCTGAAATGGAGGGAAAGTTTTCATCCGTTCCAAAAAAGTTCTGTCTTTATTCATAGTTACTTCGGCGCCCAGCGGATGCAGAGAGCCGCATGGAACCAGACCAGAACTGGACCTCCAGACTTATCTGTGAATCTGAGTGCCACCCAGAGAACCAGCGTCATCTCCAGAGCCCACCAGGACTTCTTTCATCTAGATTTGGACTCAATCGGACCACCGTGTGGTCTCGTGCCGGCCATCTAAAAGTCCGGCTCCCTACAAAAGCGTTTTGTTGATCAAGGGCTGAGGAGAGCCGACCAGAACCGGCATGGTAGGTCAGCCAAGCCGGACCGGAACTGAGTCGGTCTTCTGCAGAGCTGGTGAGTCAAATTTAGCAGTACTGTGCAGTACATATACATATGTTGTTAAAACGATGTAGGTTTAAGAGTTTAGAACATTGCAAGAGTGTGGGAAGGATTAATAATGCCTTAATATATATATATATATATATATATATATATATATTTTTTTTTTTAATTATATTAAAAATATGTTTAGCAGATTTTCACTGATTGGGGTGTGTGTGTCTGGAACGTAACCTCTGCAATAAATGAGGGACTACTGTAGTGCTATGCATAAAATATCCATTTTAAAATCCACTGCTATCTGATAACAGCCCGTCTGCCATCACCTTCAAGTTGCAATGCCAACTGATTCTTTCCTGCATCTTCAACTGGCAGCTCAGAACCATGAGAGCAGCGGGTTTACTTAGACCCATCGTGTCACCGTGACGTCATCATAAAGCAGACAAAGACAACCCAAAGGCAGCTCAGGCTTCTTCAACATAAATCTTATAAATCACCTGTGAAAGTCAGAAGTTTCTTCACAACTCAAACTTTTGTGTCAGAGTTTCCACACCTTCTCTTCTCTCAAAGTTTGGAGCGTGTTCAGCTGGCAAAAGGAGAAGTAGAAGACATGCTCACCTGTGTTTGGATGTCATCTCCGGTGACGATGTTTCCCACAGCTCTCAGGGCAGGAGAGGCCACCTTATAGTCGGAGTGCCTGCAGAGTTGTAGAAAAGTGAGACTTTGTTTTGTTTTTGTGCACGTCAAACTTCATGTGGCTGAAAACAACTAGCTCAAACCTACATGAGGAGCTCCACAAGCCGCCTGCAGACACCAGAGTCAATCACAGCCTGGATCTTGTCATTGGGGCCATCTGAAAGGTAGGAAAGAGCCCAGCAGGCGTCTGCCAACAAGTCTGGGTCACTGCTAAATAAGAGCCTGGACAGCACCGGCAGACAAGGTGACACCTGGACAGAACCAACACAACACATCATTCATCATCTCAGACAACGAGAACCCAGAAGGACAAAGATGTTCAGGCAAACAGCAGCTGACAGGAGGAGAGACTGGCAGCATTAAAGTTCTGTACAGTCACCGACACCAGCAACAAACTTTGGGTCGTTATAGTGAATGTTTATGAGGCATTCGCTCTGTTGTGATCCATTTTTCTTCCATACGCTTTTCAGCATCTTTCTCGTTCCACAATTTGTGCTACTTCAACAAATGAATCAAAACGTTCAGCTCTTTCAGGACAATCCTGCTATGACTTTTGGGATTAGTGCAACTTTAGCTTTTTGTAAATATTTTAGCCGTTTCTGCCATTTTTTCCTCATATAAAATGAATTGAGCTCATTTTACATCCTTCAAATCTTTAGATGTGTTCACAACCTTTTACTGCTCTTTTCATTTTGTTCTGCTTCAGCTTCTTTCAGCTTTCTTCCGTAAATTTAAACTCTCTTTTTTCAGCTGTTTTCAGCCGTTTCATGCTCCTTTTAGATTCTTAATGCCAACTAGATTTTTGTGCTTCTTCTAATTTCAGCTTGTTATGCTCCTTTCATCTAGTTTAAGCTTTTTCTGCCATTTCGGATACTATTTAGCTGTTTTATGCTAATTTGAGCATTTTCAGCTAATTCCACACATCTAAAAAAGTTAAGTCTGGTCCTCTGGATGGGATTAAAAAATTTTTTTATTTTTATTTTTAGAAACTTAACATTTCTACAATTTTTTGTTTTTTGAACCTGCCCAGAGGACCAGACTTGATTTTTTTTTAGACTTTTCTACCTGGATTATTGAGCATGCATCAGGATACTAATTCCACATATTTTGCACTCATTTCAGCTTTTTTCAGCCTAATTCATCAAAAATGTGCTCTCTCCGCTTCCTTCTGGTAATCTCAGCTTCTTTCTGCCCTCTTAGCTACTTTTCAGCTTTTTTTTTTGTGCATGCAAATTTCTGCTTTTTTCAGATCATTTCACTTTTTGTGCTCATTTCAGCTTCTTTCAGCATAACTGGACAAACGTGTTTTTTCTGCTTGCTTCCGCTAATTTAAGCTAGTTGTACTTTTTCAGCTACCTTTTTTGTAGTAACGGTAATTTTAGCTGTTTTCAGATAAATTCAAGTTTTCATGTTAATTGTTGCTACTGTCAGCCTAATTAACATTTTTTTCTGCTATTTTCAGCTTGTTATGCTCCTTTCAGCTTTTTCTGATGGTTTCAGATTTTTCTGCTCTTTCCGCTACCATTTAGCTCCTTGGATGCTAATTTGAGCTTTTTCCAGCTAATTCCACATTGTTTGAGCTCTTCTCAGTTCTTTCCGCTTCCTTCTGGTAGGTTCAGCTTATTTTTTTCTTTTTTCAGCTACTTTTTAGCAATTTCTTTTGCAAATTTCAGCTGATTTTTTTTTTTTTTTAGCTAATTTCCTAATTTTTGTGCTAATTTCTGTTTATTTATACCTAATTCAGCAAATGTGTTCTTGCTGCTTTCTTCTGGTAACTTAGGCTTGCTCTTCCATTTCAGCTACATTTCAGCATGGTTTTAGCTAATTTCAGCTGTTTTTCAGCAAGTTCTTCTGCAACAAGCATTCACTGCATTTTTGCATTAAATGCAATTTCTCCAGTTATTATTTTAACAACTTTTTATAATAGCAATTGGCAAATTTGCTCCCACTGAACCTTTGCTGAAATTATGACATTTAGTTTTCTCTTTACATACCAAGCTTTTCCATTTTTGCTTTATTTCACGTTCGATTTGAATAATTTCAAAACCAGGTACAGATCAGATCATTTTTATTATGTTGTGATGTGGAAAAGCCTGCAAGTCAAAAAAGTTACTGCGTGTAGAAGGAAAAAATACTGTTTGACTCTATTGGTCTTAAGGGATGGCCAGTCATTTTTAAATATTCAATCTAATTTAAATGGTCTATTTGAAGAAGAAATGCAATATTAACAACTAATTTGTTATTTTTTATTAGGACTTTAGAGCGACATACCAAGTTTTTTTTAACAAAACTTTTCCAGTTAGTTTTGCTTTTTTCCAACACATCTAACCTAAATCACTCCAAGAACTTAAAATTAAGGACAAACAACTGAGTGTCCTATTGTTTCTGTCAACGTAGTTGATTTTGAAAAGAGTATAAAGTGGAAACTACGATCACTGGTGAGCTCAGCACCACTGTCCACATTGATCTGTTTAACTAGTGAAAACGAAGGAATACTGTAGGTCTAATAATTTTTAAATACTTACAATTAATTTGAGCAAAGTTTCTGTTTAAAATGCCATGCCATTATTAATTTATTTTTCAACCCTTCAAATATTTAAAAGTCACTGCCCATCAGTGTAAATATTACCTTTTCAAAAGCTGGAGGAGGATTTTTTCCTCTACAGAGATTAGACAGAGCCCACACTGCATTTCTAGTCATGGTCAATCTGGTGGATTTAGTCAAAAGCCTGAAACAGAAAGAGCACGCAGCAGTAAGATCATAGCAAGAGCACGTGCTCACACTAGCTTTGGGTCATTAAAGCCATCAAAAACAATAAAAACTAGATTAACGTACATTAACAGTGGTGGAAGGATGTCACAGTTTAGGACGTAATCCCTGCAGACTGCACTGTCCCCTGCAATATTCCCCAACGCCCACACAGCCTGCAAGACATGTCACAATACGTTAAAGAACCTGAGATAAGCATATACAGGACAGCAGTCCCTCGCTGCTTCGTGGTTCGGATTTGCTAGATCAAAGTAAGATTGGACATGACACAATGGGCTGATAGATGGATGAGCCCCGGGCTGTTTATTTAAAATAAATTATTTTAAAAGACTTTGCACCATGTGTGAAGCCCACTAGTGCAGGGGAAGCTCCCTCCTGCAGCTGATCAGCTGATCTTCTCCGCCACGCACACACCGTCTACATAATCTCGTTCCACCACATGTACCATGAGATGTGAATGACAAATAAATCTCTCTGACTCTGACACACATTTCTCCTGCTGCAGTTTTGTGAAAGGTTAACCCTTTGTTGTCCAGATACAACGATCGACTTTTGTCTTCCAACTTACAATTCAAAGCATGTCACATCGTAAAATCGTCATAATCACAAAATATAAAAGTGTTAAGTTATTTTTAATTATTTTAGAACTTCTATGTTCAGTTGTTTCAGTGTAATTGATCAAGAAGTACATTACTGCTCCGTGCTGCAGAGCTGGGTGAAGAGTTTGATGTCCTGCTGCTCTTCTCTTCCCTACGATTTAAATTTAAATACTGCAACATTTTAAATAAACAATTCATGCTGCATGGATTGTTTATTTAAAATGTTACAGTATTTAAATTTAAATTGTTTATTTACGGAGGGAGATTGGGAGTAACAGGAGATGAGTGTGATTACAGCCTGGCACATGTCATGACAAAGTTTACTGAACTTGGACTACTGTATCTTTACTTCGTTGTTTTTCACTTATCGCGGTGGGCGTGGCCCCAAACAACAGTGATAAACGAGGGACTACTGTATAATAAAAACAAACTTGTTACAACAATTGCAGTAGAAAATGTGCTACTTGTTCTTGAACGTCCTCAAAGTCTGAGTTGAGTAATTCGATGAAGATGGGTACAGCTCCAGCTTCTATAACAATCTTTGTCTGCGAGGACGTTCCTGATGCGATGTTGGTCAGAGCCCACGCAGCTTCAAACTGCAGAGGGAAAAAAATACAAACAAACAAACAAGAAAGATTTTAGGATTAGATACATCATGCAACGTCTAACTCGTATATCGTAAACAAGCAGAAGCATTAAAATGCCAAATGTGATTATTATTGAAACAAACTTTTTATTTACGGACCTGAAGTGTGCAGTTGATGCTCTTCTTTAGAAACTCAACAAACCTCTCGACCACTCCAGGTGTATTTATAACCTCATCAATTGGAGGGTTGGGCTCTGCAAAAAACAAAAAGTTCAAACTACATGCAGCCATTTTCATTTGGTCTCTGAAAACACAACGGTTGTTGTGCTTTTTATCGGGGCGACCATTCTGCTGCTATTTGCTCCTACGTTTTAGGACATCAAAGAAACTTTAAAATATACACCATATAAAGACAACATGTATTTTAGAAAACAATCCGTCTAGTACTGGTGAGAAAAACTAGACAGGGCTAACATGAGACCATTTTATTAGAACAGGTTTGTGTATAACGGTTCAGTTTTCAAAACAAAAAAAGACAATATTTTTCATTTTAAATAACTTTAAGGTTATAAACCTTGTTCTGAAGTTGGGTCTCAGGGCAGCAGCTTGAGCAGGGAGGACCACACATCTCTTTTCACAGCCACCTCTTCCAGCTCCTTCTGGGAGGACTACTCCAAGGCGTTCCCATGTACTGGGTCTTCCTAATGGTCTCCTCCCAGTCTGACATGCCCCAAGTACCTCCATAGGGAGGCGCCAAAGGGGCATCCTTCCCAGATGCCCAAACCACCTCAACTTGCTCCTCTCGATGTGGAGGAGCAGCGGTTCTACTTTGAGTCTCTCCCAGATAACTGAACTTCTCACCCTGTCTCTAAGGGACAGTCAAGCTACTCTGCACAGGAAACTCATGTCAACCTCCAGTATCCATGATCTCATTCTTTAAGTTTCTACCTAAAGTTTGTGACCATAGGTGAGAGTAGGAACACAGACTGACATGTAAACAGAGAGTTTTGCCTTACAGCTCAGCTCCCTCTTCACCACAACGGACCGGCACAGAGTCCTCAATACTGCAGACGCTGCACCAATCAGTCTGTCAATCTCACGCTCCATTCTTCCCTCACTCATGAGCAAAACCCTGAGATACTTGAACTCCTCCACTTGAGGCAGAACCTCACCCTCGACATGAAGAAAGCAGTCCACACTTTTCTGGTTGAGGACCATGTCCTCAGATTTGGAGGTGCTGATTCTCATCCCAGCCGCTCCAGTGAGAGCTGGAGATCACGGCATGATGACGCCAACAGGACCACATCATCTGCAAAGAGCAGAGATGGAATCCTGAGGCCACTGAACCGGACTCCCTCCGCCCATCAGCTGCACCAAGAAATTCTGTCCATGAAAGTTATGAACAGAATCTGTGACAACGGGCAGCTCTGGAGGAGACCAACTCCCACCTTGAAGGGGTCCAACTTACTGCCAGCAATGTGAACCAAACTCTCACACTGCTTGTATAGGGACCAAACAGCCTGAAGCAACGGGCTCCCAATCCCATACTCGCAAAGCGCTGCCCCCCCACCCCATGAATCTCATCCACCCCCAGAGCCCTGCCACCACAAAGCTTTTTAACTACCTCGGTGACCTCAGCCACGATTATGGACAGACCAACCCCGAAGTCACTGAGCACAGTGTTAGTAAAGTGCTGCTTTCCCCTCCTCAACCGCCTGATGGTTTGCCAGAATCTCCTCAGAGCCGACCGAAAGTCTCTATCCAAGGTCTCACCAAACTCTTCTCACATCTGAGCTTTGCCTCAGAAACAACCAAGGCTGCAGACCGCTTGGCCCTCTGGTACTCCTCAGCTGCCTCCGGAGTCCCACCAGCCAAGAAGGACAGATAAGACTCCTTCAGCTTGACAACCTCCCTAACCCGGGGTGTCCATCACAGAGTTTGTGGATGGCCACCGCGAGAAGCACTGACAATCTTGCAGCCACAGCTCAAGGCAGCCACTTCAACAACTGAGTTGTGGAACATGACCCACTCTGACTCAATGTCCCCACCTCAGCTGGGATGTGGTTAAAGCTCTCCCAGAGGTGTGAGTTGAAGATCTTTCTGATGGGTGCTTCTGCCAGGCATTCCCAGAAAACCCTCATTACACGTTTGGGTCTACCAGGTCTGTCCGGCATCTTCCCCCACCATCTGATCCAACTCACTACCAGGTGGTGAACAGTTCATAGCTCAGCTCCTCTCTTCACTTGAGTGTCCAAAACAAACGACCGCCAATCAGATGACACGACTACAAAGTCGATCATCGAGCTACGACCTAGGGCGTCCTGGTGCCAAGTGCACTTATGGACACCCTTATGTTCGACAAACTGTGACTAGCACAAATGTCCAACAACAGCGCACCGCTTGAGTTCAGCTCAGAGAGGCTGTTCCCCACATTCACGTCCCTCCAGGTCACACTGTCATTACACACGTGGGCACTGAAGTCCCCCAGCAGAATAAAGGAGTCCCCAGCTGGTGCACCTTCCAGAACCCGCACCAAGGACTCCAAGAAGGCCGGATACTCTGAACTGCCGTTTGGCACGTAGGCCCAAACAACAATCAGAGCTCGTCTCCCTCACCCGAAGGTGCAGCACCCTCTCATCTACCGGGGAAAACAACACAGGCATTTTTTTCATGTTACATTCTGGAAACTACTTTCGAGGGGTTAAGAGTAGAACCACACCAGCTCGGCGCCTCTCACCATGGGATACTTCAGAGTGGATTAATAGGAGCAACGCAATGAAGAACATCACAATGTGGTATTTTCATTTCAAAATGTCAGGTTTGAGGAGTTCTGTTTTTTTAACAAAATTATTTATATATTATTAAAGCAGTGACTTTTGTTTAATCGGCACTGCTGGGTTTTAAGTTACTAAAGCAGAAGGTTTCTTTTAAGAGCACCAGCACTACAATCGTTAAAGTCGATCTTTGTCTTGTTGTAGAATCACTCTGGTGTTTACCTTTGGAAAGTAGTTTCCTGAACTTCTGTGTTGTTGCAAGCTGAAGCTCTGGGTCTTCTGCAAAAAGCATCTCAACCATGTCTCTGGTAATAACTCCTTCCTGCAAGAGAAACCATACAAGTTTTAATCACTGATACACTCGAACACTTATTTTTATTTCATAATCAAAGCATAGAAAAATGAACACACACACACACAAACTTGAAAAACGCACCCCCCTACCCTTCTGATAATTCAATATGAAGCCAGACACTCACCGTTGCTGGAGAACTTAGGTATGAGTCCGCCAGTGGACTTTCAAGCATGACTTCCTCTTCATTCAGAACATCCACATTTCTCCTCTTGAAGAGCTGTGGGAGAACACACAGTGGGATGCAACATAAAATATTTCCATTGCACATAAACTATCCTTATCCACCATCTTCAGTTTGTTCTGAAGTCAGGTCTCAGGGGCAGCAGCTTGAGCAGGGAGGTCTGGACATCTCTTTCCATAGCCACCTCTTCTGGGAGGACTCCAAGGTGTTCCCAGGCCAACAGAGAGACACAGTCTCTCCAGCATGTCCCAGGTTCTCCTCCCAGTTGGACATGCCAATTAAACCTCCTTAGGGAGGGGGGGGGGGGGGCATTCTTACTAGATGCCTGAAGCACTTCAATTGGCTCCTCAGCAGCTCTGCTCAGAGTCTCTCCCAGCATGTCCTGTCTTCCCCAGGGTCTCCTCTGAGTCAGACATGCCCAAAGCACCTCCCTAGGGAGGCGCGCAGGAGGCATCCTTACTAGATGCTGAACCACCTCAACCGCCTTCTTACAATGTGGAGGAGCAGCGATTCTAGTCCCGAGTCTCTCCCGGATAGCTGAACTTCTCACCCCATCTCAAGGGAGAGTCCAGCTACCCTGCAGAGGAAACTCAACATAAACTACAAAGATTTAATATCCTGATGCATGCTCAACAATCCAGGTAGAAATATCTAAAAAAGTTCATTTGAAACGTCCTGATTCTTAAAATGTGTCTCATTATAGACATGAAGGGCAGTCATTGATGCAGGAGCGGAACATAAACAAAAGCTTTCAGTCAACATAAAATTATAGTAAACTCTCCTCAGAATAGAAAGCGACTGCACGTCTGAACACACTTATGATTTTGTAACTGTACCCAGGGAATGAAATAAGTAACATGTAAGCAGTTTGTAAATTCCCCCTCACTGCTAACATTAGGACACATGTTGGATGTTTCCAACCTGTTCTAACATTTGATAGCTCAAGGAATGAATTTGTTCAACTAAAGATTTAAAAATTACCAAGATGCTGCCAACACTGTCCTATAAGTCTGAGAGGAGATTCAACTAAACACTGGAGTCTTTAAAGGTCAAGATGATGATTTTTTTTTCTGATTTGGTAAAACAGCTGAACCACACAGCCGTGATGGAAGCTCTCACCGGAAACTTCAACAACTTTTCTGCTGACTGAAGCAGAACTGAACATAAAAAGGACTGTGGGATTAAAGGACATAAAACTTTGATGCAGTAAATGGAAAAAGTGAGTTTAGTTCTCAGCTTTATTCTGGTATTTTCAACTGTCTGTCCCACAAATGGAGACATGCACAGTAGGCGTATTGGTCATATTTGTTCTACTTAAATTGTATCAGTGTTAAGTCAAATACATCCCACGGATTTAAAAAGAAGTTCCTGGTCACCTGGAATGAGCTGGAACTCATTACAGTACAGGTCCTTCTCAAAAAATTAGCATATTGTGATAAAGGTCATTATTTTCCATAATGTAATGATAAAAATGAAACTTTCATATATTTCAGATTCATTGCACACCAACTGAAATATTTCAGGTCTTTAATTGTTTTAATACTGATGATTATGGCATACATCTCATGAAAACCCAAAATGCCTGTCCCAAAAAATTAGCATATTTCATCCCACCAATGAAAGACAAGTGTTTTTAATACAAAAAACACCAACCTTCAAATAATCATGTTCAGTTATGCACTCAATACTTGGTCGGGAATCCTTTTGCATGAATGACTGCTTCAATGCTGCGTGGCATGGAGGCAATCAGCCTGTGGCACTGCTGAGGTGTTATGGAGGCCCAGGATGCTTCGATAGCGGCCTTAAGCTCATCCAGAGTGTTGGGTCTTGCGTCTCTCAACTTTCTCTTCACAATATCCCACAGGTTCTCTATGGGGTTCAGGTCAGGAGAGTGGGCAGGCCAATTGAGCACAGTAATACCATGGTCAGTAAACCATTTACCAGTGGTTTTGGCACTGTGAGCAGGTGCCAGGTCGTGCTGAAAAATAAAATCTTCATCTCCATAAAGCTTTTCAGCAGATGGAAGCATGAAGAGCTCCAAAATCTCCTGATAGCTAGCTGCATTGACCCTGCCCTTGATAAAACACAGTGGACCAACTCCAGCAGATGACATGACACCCCAGTGACTGTGGAAACTTGACACTGGACCTCAAGCAATGTGAATTCTGTATCTCCTCTCTTCCTCCAGACTCTGGGACCTTGATTTCCAAAGGAAATGCAAAATTTACTGTAATCAGAGAACATAACTTTGGACCACTCAGCAGCAGTCCCAGGCGAGATGCTTCTGACGCAGTCTCTTGTTCAAGAGTGGCTTGACCTGGGGAATTTATTACAAACCTGGCAAAAATTGCTTTCATCCAAAAAAAGTACTTTGGACCACTGAGCAACAGTCCAGTGCTGCTTCTCTGTAGCCCAGGTCAGGCGCTTCTGCCTCTGTTTCTGGTTCAAAAGTGGCTTGACCTGGGGAATGCGGCACCTGTAGCCCATTTCCTGCACACGCCTGTGCACGGTGGCTCTGGATGTTTCTACTCCAGACTCAGTCCACTGCTTCCGCAGGTCCCCCAAGGTCTGGAATCGGCCCTTCTTCACAATCCTCCTCAGGGTCCGGTCACCTCTTCTCGTTGTGCAGCGTTTTCTGCCACACTTTTCCCTTCCCACAGACTTCCCACTGAGGTGCCTTGATACAGCACTCTGGGAACAGCCTATTCGTTCAGCAATTTCTTTCTGTGTCTTACCCTCTTGCTTGAGGGTGTCAATGATGGCCTTCTGGACAGCAGTCAGGTCGGCAGTCTTACCCATGATTGTGGTTTTGAGTAATGAACAAGGCTGGGAGTTTTTAAAAGCCTCAGGAATCTTTTGCAGGTGTTTAGAGTTACGTCGTTGATTCAGATGGTTAGGTTAATAGCTTGTTTAGAGAACCTTTTCATAATATGCTAATTTTTTGGGACAGGCATTTGGGTTTTCATGAGCTGTATGCCATAATCATCAGTATTAAAACAATTAAAGACCTGAAATATTTCAGTTGGTGTGCAATGAATCTGAAATAAATGAAAGTTTCATTTTTATCATTACATTATGGAAAATAATGACCTTTATCACAATATGCTAATTTTTTGAGAAGGACCTGTGGGTGCTGCACATCAGAAATGGACCTACAAGTATTTCTACTAAATATTGTCTGAAAAAAAAAAATAGATGCATTGTTTTACTGAGTATATGCTACTTGACGTTTCCTTATTATTCCCCCGTTTAACGTGTGCTACTTGGACACTAGGAGAAATCATATTTGAAGTGAAATGAGAGATTACCACATATTCACAACTCTTAAAGGACAGCCAGGTGTGTAGCTGCCCACTGCACAGTATCTCAGGCGTGATGAGCTAAATGCAGAGAACTAACTTCATCATTGTATGGAAACATACATCACATAGCTCTTATACTTGTAATACCTGCTGTTCTCGCTTCTGTTTCCTGAGTTGGATCCCCTCCTCTTCTCTCCTGCGTCTCATCTCCTCTGGATTCAGTGCTTTGTTCTTGTAGCGGTTCATCCTGTAGTTGTCCTTGGCCGGACTGGTTGACGGCTCTGACAGGACAAAACAAACACGCATATATTTTTAACTAAAGACACAAGAGGAAAACAAGCTGCCTCATTTTAGGTAAGCTTCACGCAGACTCTCTCACTGGTACATTTTCATCTTTAAATCACTTCTTGGTCTGCTGCCTTCATACATCTCCTCCTACATGTCTCTGCGTGAGTGCAGCTACAGCGTGCGCTCTCCGGACATTATTACATGCAGTGTTCCTTCAGTGAGGACTAAACTAGGCAAAAGGGCCTTCTCCTACTCCGCTCCTGTTTCCTGGAATATCTTACAAAAAGATCTGAAGCTCTCGACCTTGACCACTCTAAGTGGCTTTAAGAATCTGTTCAGTTCCTGGTAAAATCCCACGCAGACACGTTCCTGTGTTTAGTTTTCTACATCGCCTTACAACCTAGCCGTTTTGTTGTTATTTTTTTTTAATACCATTTTATTTTCACTTGTTATTCTCAGTTCGTATGCACGTATCCTTTTGACTGTCCATTGTTGTCATCACTCTTTGTTAAAATCAGGTCTCTGTAAATGAGTCCCCGAGGCTCAGTGCGATTAACCTGTATGAATAAAGGTTGAATGGAAAAAAAAAACTGATTAGGGACACTATGTGTATGAGAAAGCATGTGATGGATTAAGTTTGCATTCATTTCTTCTCGCCTTTCTAATATTAGGTTGTGACGAAGAAACTAAATTCCTGTGACTATTTATAAAGAAGCTCACAAAAACTAGACAACACTGGCTAAATATAACATAGCTAAGCTGGTCTGCCAGTCATCGGGCAGACAGAACAAATTTATTTCATCAATAGACTCAAACTGCAGTGCTCGTATAAACTGGTGCCCAAAACATGCTGGCCATTCTTGGGTTCTGTGCAGTCATCCACCTGCACGAGGCACCAGGAATGTCTCTGAATCACCCAGGGGAGCAAAAGAATGATGAGGGATAACAGGAAAATCTGCCACCAACACAGAATGGTGCCAAAAGCGTTTCTGTTATCAGTAGGGGGGGTTCTTAGGTTAAATATGAGAACAAACATTAGAAAATGAGGTCGTGTTTAGCACACCCATCTTTGTAAAAGGTGTGTAACAGATGGTGGAGCTGTGGGGATGAACAAACACTGGTGGTAGCTGGCTGCTCTCGTTTCTCTGCGATGATAGTAAGATTATATACAGCGTTTCAGCTGCACTGCATGTTGGGAGTTTGGTCGAATAAAAATAGCATGGTTAGGAGTACATGTCACACTGGCATTTCAGAGAAGACCCCTCTGACAGAAAGTACTTTTACCAGGGCATGCAATACAGAAAAATCAGCGCTGTTAGGAAGTTTGTCATCGCAAGTCGCCAAGAGGCAAAGGTGGACATTAATGTTTTGTCTTTCTTTTACTAAAATACTTAATAACCCACTGGTCAGATTGTAATAAAATTTGCAGGAGATAATCATTGGATATTCCTCTACAATACGTGCACTTTGGAGCTAACTCAATTCAAGATGGTCACCACTGCAAACAGACCTTACAAAACACAAACATGGCTATAACTCAATCAGCTGTATAGATATGGAGGCCAAATTTGACGTGGATGTAGCTAAAAGCCGTTCACAACACGCGCTCTGAGCGGGACACTTCACATGTCACATGAGACTGCAATTAACATTTGACCAAAACAGCTTCATTTCTCATGCGCTTGATAAATGACCATTATCTGAACGGCAGACGACACAAAAACACCTAACCTCATAAAACTATTTAAAACTAATTAAATCTAAATGTGGAAGAAACATGCATTCTGTAGCAAAACTAACGACTAAAAGGTCATGTTTGCAAATAAGGACTGGTTGTGAAACATTTCACCTGGAAAACATAAAGATCAAATAAAACAAATAAATAAAAGTTTGAACCTGAGACTTTTAAGTTCCTGAATAAATTAAGAGGAACTGTGTAACACGTTGATCACTGAGTTGTTATAATATCCGGCCGGCTATAAGACTAGTCTTGACCAGTTAACCAGTAAAGCTGGAATAAAAAACAATATGCACAATAAAGTGTGGGAATGGTCTAGAAAGTACAGGAAGCCTTTGCAACCCCTGCATGAATCTTAAGTTGTTGGGTGGTGCCAGCTAAGTTAACGTGGTCAAACAGCTAGCAGTACCTGGAAGCAACATGAAAGATAAATATTAAATAAATAAATAATGTTAACTTTATATACATATGAATGTTTCTGTTCAGAGCCCTGAGATGACTTGTGTTGTGACTTGGCGCTATATATAAACTGAACTGAACATGGACCTGGTTAAACACAGGCAGCAGCTTCACAGCGCTGTCACTTCTTAAACTTTCATAAATACAAGGCCAGACAGACAAATTACATCAGGAAGTCACGACAGGACGCATCTATATTGTCAAGACTAATGAAAAGGTTGGGCTACAACTGCACGTGAGGCAAAAGAAATGGCAAAGCTCGATGCTAACGCAGTTAGCGGTTAGCCAAGTTGTTTTTCAAGTTAGCTTACAAAAAACATCAGTTGCTTTTTTTGTGGTTGAAAACACATGTTTGCGCCTCGACTCATTTCTCATAACGAAAGAGAAATGTCCCAGGACGAGAAAACAAAGTGACAGTTTAATAAGAAGTGAAGAAGCGAGCTTGCCGAACTGCGTACTGACGAAACATTAACTAGCTCTCCAGCTGACGAGTTAGCCGAGTAGCTAAACAAAAGTCACGGAATTACTGCATACTCGTTATTGTAGTCGAAAAATATTAACCTTTAACCAGATGAACACCCTAAAGTGATCCACCAAACAACTTACCCATTCTGTTTTTTTTTAGTTTTTCGGGTATGTCAAGTTGTAAAGACGTTTGTCAATTTCAACTCCTTTCCCCACTGATAGCTTTCTAGAAATTGCTCCAGTAAGCAATATGTCTACCGGAAGTGTGAAAATAAAAGACCCACTTCCGACCAGCAGAGGGCGCTGCAGCCCCACAAACACCAACCCTGTCAGAAAAAGACGTGCCAACATGGCACATGATTAAAACTGCAATAAATAAACTAAACACTTAAATAGACCATGTGTCTTAAATGAACTGCAAGTTGCAAAACAACTACAGTAATTTAATTTTTTTCCCTGACTGTTTAATTCATGAGACTCACAATCTGATTAAATTATTTTATTGCCTTGGATGGAAATTCACTTTTTATTATTAATCCTCTGTTTGAATACTGACTCTTGCTTTCTCTCCCTATATGAATAAAAAAAATAAAAAAATATGGTTCGTACTCTAAAAACAAATTTAAAAAAGATTATTTGAAAGCAGTTCTGTTAACGAGCAACTGGACTTCCTGATAAGCAAAAACATATGTGGACTATACCTAGTTAAAAGAGATAAAACTATGAATATTTTTTAAAAATACAGAAACCCTTAAGTTCTTTGGGGTCCCTTGTACTACTACTCCATGTAGTACAAGTACAACAAAAAACTACCTTTTAACTTTTCTGACTACATCTATTTCTATGCACATATCTCTACTCTTTATGTGCTGAGTTAAAGTAAGTTGTAGAAGTTAAAGAATCTCGTGATACTTGTTGACACCAGTGGCAAGATGTAAAAAAATTAAACTCCACCTATTTGAGAATATTTTCTACACATGTTCACTGTCTTTTTGCACCAAGTATGTCACGTTTTGTTTTTCACACAGTTTATCTGTGAGGGTTTAAAAAAAAAAAAAA